CATTGTAGAGGCAGAGGTTTATAACAATAAAAAATGTGACTGAGGAAAAAGAAAAAAAAAGCTCAAAATCTTAATTGGATTTCTTAGTGCCAATAAAATTGACAACTACAACAGAGATGGGGGGAAAAGTGGCGGGGTTGGGGGGAATCCAAAAGAATCTACAGAACAAGACAAAAAATAAGAATAATAAATGTTTTTCTTGAGTCACCGCTGTCAGAGTCCTTTCCCTTGCTGGGAGTCACAGTCCACCTCACCTCCCTAGGATGCCCTCCAACACTGTGCTGATCTCTGGACCTGCTGTGGGGGCAGCTCAGATTCTAATCTGGTCCTACTCCTGTGTGTTCTTGCCTCCAGTGTCCACAGCTATCAGAGCTAGTGTGTTTTCTTTTGTGCGAGCTCTCAATGGCCTTTTATATATTCCATGGATACAGAATCTATTTAGTTGATGTGTGGATTTAATCTGCAGCTTGTACTTGGTGGGAAGGCTTTGGGTCTTCTTCCTTAACCGCATTGTCCCTTGGTTTCAACTGTGGTTTTATTTCCACCTCTGCATGTGGGTCGTCCGCTGGGGTTTGCTCCTGAGGCTGCCCTGGAGGGCTTGGGTTTGCCCCTGTGAGGGCCAGGTGTGGAGGTGGTGCAGCTGCTTGGGTCGCAGGGGTTCTGGCAGCACCAGGTACTCAGGGGGGTTGGCGGCTAGGGCAGCAGGAAATATAGTGCTCTGGAAGGGTATGGCAACCAGTACTGGCCAATACGCTCCAGTGTTCCTGCCTGGAGAACCTCCTCTCTGACAGAGAAGCCTGGCAGGCCACAGTCTGCAGGGTCGCAAAGAGTCTGACAGGACCTAAGGGACCCTGCGCGCATAAACACAAGATTTTTTTTTTTTTTTTTTTTTTGGCCTGTGGCAGCCCTGCCCCAGGGAGAGTTGAGCATGAAGGTGGTGCAGCTGCTTGGCTTGCAGGGACCCTGGCGGCACCAGGTGTTCAGGGACACAGACTGCCTCCAGGGCAGGACTTATGGCCCTGTCAGAGTCTTTTTTCCAGCCTCTTGCAGTGGGCAATCAGAAGGCCTCTTTGGCCAGTCTTTCTCCATAGCTCCACCCATTCCGGCACTTAGAGGGCTCCCTTGCCTGGGGTCCTCCTCTGTTGTTCGGAAAGTCAGGCACATAGAGGGATCCCCTTGGCTGGGGTCCTTTTCTGTAGATCAGCACATCAGGCATTTAAAGGGCACCCTGGGTGGGGTCCTACTCTGTAATTCAGTGCCTCAGGCATTTGATGGGCCAGCCTCCCTATTGTTCAGCTGCCTATGGTGGCCTGTGGAGAGAGAGAGAGGCTATGGTGATGGCTCCACCCCCCTACACGTGACTCAGCAGTATCGCCTTGCTTCCATGGCTGCCTGGCTTTCCTCCACAGGCATTTCCCACCACGATCTCCTCCCTCACATCCCCTCGATCCATCTCTCCTCAGTCAACAGCAGCCCTTGAACTGGGATTGCTCCACAGTCCTGAAACTCCAGCTCCTTCTCTGCCCCTTCCAGGAGACCTGCATTCCTGCCTGGCATATATATGGCTGCGGCAAGGACTGTCTGATTCTCATTCCCTTTAGGCCGCCACAGATCAGCTGTTTCACTCTCAGCCTTAAATGTTTCTCCTCTGACTCAGACAGCTGCCCTGCTGTAGGGATCAGACCACTGCTTCAGTTCCCCCACCCGCTGAGGGCAGGTCCAGTCCTACTAACACTCCTGTTTTTCCCCCTAGTTCCCTCATCCTACTGAGTTTTGCGTGGTTCTATATATTCTTTTCCACTGGTCAGGTACTTCTGTCCGCTCTCAGCTGGTGTTCTACATGCATTTCTGTGTCTGAAGGTGTATTCTTGATGTATCCGTGAAGAGAGATGTACTGCACATCCACCAACTCCTCTGCCATCTTGTTCTCTCCTCTTTTGTTTGAATTAATTTTTAAAATTGAAATATAGTTGATTTACAATGTCTTAGTATTAACTTCAGGTATACAACATATACTCCATTTAAAGTCATCATATAATATTGGCTATATTCCTTGTGCTGTATATGACATCCTTGTATTTTATTTATCTTATACCCATGAGTTTGTACTTAATCCCTTTCCCCTTTCTCGTACCTCCCCCCTTCCCATCCCCCCATTGATAATCTAGTTCTCTGTATCAATGAGTCTGTTTATGTTTTGTTATATCCATTCATTTATTTTTTAGTTCCCATGTATAAGTGAAAACATAACAGTGTGTATTTTTCTCTGACTTACTTTACTAAGCATAATATCCTCTAGGTCCATTCATGTGGATGCAAAGTTTTGCAAAAATTGCAAATTTTTTATGACTGAATAGTATTTTATTGTGTCCATCTTCTTTGTCCATTCGTGTGTTTAAGTCAAAGATTCTTTCGTTTTAAAATAAAATGAGGTTTTAAAAATATTTATTTTTATTTATTTATTTGGCTGCGCTGGGTCTTAGTTGCAGCACACAGAATCTTCTATCCTTGTTTCAGCATGCGGGATCTTTAATAGGATTTAGTTCCCCAGAGAAGGATGAAACCCCTGCATTGGAAGCACAGCATCTTAGCCACTGGACCATCAAGGAAGTCCTTTATCTATTCATCTGTTGATGGACACTTACATTGCTCTGTACTGTTTTCCATTACAGTAGTGTCAATTTCCATTCCAACCAATAGTGTACTAGGGTTCCCTTTTCTCCCTAGTCTTGCCAATTTATTATTTGTGGTCTTTGGGCTTCCCTGGTGGGTCAGAGGGTAAAGCGTCTCCCCGTAATGCAGGAAACCAGGGTTCGATCCCTGGGTCAGGAAGAGCCCCTGAAGAAGGAAATGGCAACCTACTCCGGTACTCTTGCCTGGAAAATCCCATGGATGGAGAAGCCTGGTAGGCTTCATGGGGTCACAAAGAGTCGGACACGACTGAGCACCTTCACTTTCACTTTTGACAATAGACGTTCTGACAGATGTAAAGTGCTGTCTCTGGTTTTGCTTTTCTTTTCTCTGATGATTAGTGATGTTGAGTATCTTTTCATGGGCTCTTTCGCCATCTATATGTCTTCTTTGGAAAAATGTTTGTTTAGATCTTCTGACTATTTTTAACCAGGTGGTTCATTTTTTTAAAATATATATATATATTGAGTTGTATGAGCTCTTTATATGTTTTGGATATTAACCACTTATAAGACATGTCATTTGCAAATATCTTTTCCCATTTAGTAGTTTGTCTTTTCATTTTGTTGATGGTTTCCTTCTTTGTGCAAAAACTTTTTAATTTAATTACTTCCCATTGTTTATTTCTGCTTTTGTTTCCCTTTCCTAATGAGACAGATTCAAAAAAATTACTGCCAAGATTTTTATTAAAGAGTGTACTGCTTATGTTTTCTTCTAGGAGTTTTACAGTTTCCAATTTTACATTTAGGTTTTAATCCATTCTGAATTTATGTTTGTATGTGGTATGAAAAAAAAATCCAATTTCATTCTTTTACATGTCCTTGTTTGGTCTTCCCAACACCACTGTTAAAGATACTCTCTTCCCCATTGCATAGTTTTGCCTCCTCTGTCATAGATTAATTGGCCATAGGTGTGTAGGTTGTTTTCTGGTCTCTCTCTTCTGTTCCATTGATCTGTGCATCTGTTTCTGTGCTTGAGGCCTGTTGTTTCTTTTTAAACAATATAAAATGTTGGGCTGGGATATTGGTGTGGGAATTTTAGTTAGGGTGGCCAAAGAAGGTGATTTTAAAGACCTGAGAGAAGTGAAGGAGCTAGCCATGCACATACCGGATGCAGAAATTCCAGACAAAATGCACATCAGTTGCAAAGCACCAAGGTGGAGATGTCTCTGGCATGTTAGAGGAGAAGCCAGGAGGCCCGCTGAAGCAGAGTGAAAGTGAACGGCGCTCAGTCATGTCCGACTCTTTGTGACCCCATGGACTTACAGTCCATGGAGTTCTCCAGGCCAGAATACTGGAGTGGGTAGCCTTTCCCTTCTTCAGGGAATCTTCCCAATCCAGAGACTGAACCCAGGTCTCCCACCTTGCATGCGGATTCTTTACTGCCTGCAGTGCAGGAGACCTGGGTTCAAAGGAGCAGAGTGAACACAGGGGAAGATGTTTGGAGACAAAAGTGGAGTCAAAACTCGGCAGGTAACCTACCGATGGCCTCATAGACCATCTAAGAACTTCAGCATGTTATCCAAGGGAGTCCAGATTTCCTTTGGATAGTTTTAAGCAGAAGAGTGAACTAATCCTCTGTATTTTAGCAGAAACATTCCAGCTGCTATGGACTGAGTGGGGGTGGGGGGCTGAAGCAGGGAGGCCAGTGAGGAGGCTTTTTTAAAACTCCGAGCAAGAGATGATTTTATAGGAAGACCAGTTGCATGAGGATTGAAAATGGGTTGTAAAAGGAAGAGGGGTCAAGGATGACACCAAGGTATTTGCTAAGGCTGGAGGAATTAAGTTGCATTACCTGAGATAAGAAAGGCTAGGGAACAGAGATGGGGGCTGGGGTGTGGCTCAGGGCTGGACAGATTAGTTTGAGATACCTGCCGGGCATCCCGCTAGGGGTGTCAAATTGCTGATTGGATACATCTAGAGTTAAGTAAGAGGTGGTGTTGAAGGTACAGATTTAGGAATTATCATTACATATTTAAATTCTGAAGGTGATATGATATCCCCTGAGATAACTAAGAGGCTGTTAAAATGGAAAGAGAAGAAGCTCCAGGAGTGAATCTGTGGCACTCAAGAGTTAGAGTTTTGTGAGCTCTGAAGGAATGGCCAGAAGGTAGAAAGGAAACTAGTGAATGTAGCATTATGGAAGCCAAATGAGGAAAACCATTTAAGAGAAAGAATAACCCATTGTATCAAATGCTACAGATAGGTTAGATAAGGTAAGACTGAGAACTGATGGTTGGATAGATTATGATTTCTCTAATTCTCCCCTGACTTATAATGGATTGTCTTGCTCTGACGTCCCCCCAACAGGTTGTAGCAGATACCAACGTAAGTGCCATAGCAACTCAGCTTGAGAACTTGTCTACGGGCTACCACACTGGTTCGCCCACTGCCGAGCATCATCTGGAGGACACAGAGTGAGTATTCTTGAAGCAGAGTGCCTCTTATGTGTGTGGGCAAAGCTCAGTGAGACCTTGTCCAGATTGTAGAGTGTGCTCCCTAAGGGAGAGGAATGGATAGTGCACATTACATTTTCTGATTCCTAGAGAACCTCCAAGAAAACACCAGGGTTGCTGCACTTCTCACAGAGCTTTGTTCCATCATGTGAGTTCTTTATGAACTGCTGCTATCCGGCCTGCACACACTGCATCTGGCCACTGTGCATGTGCCCTATCCACCCAGAAACCCCAGATTTATAGCCTAGGCTCACCCTGCTTTATTATGCAGAGAAACACATGCCCTCAGTTTTCTAAGCTAAAATCTTGTTCTGAAGTTAACTCTTCTTGTCATACTCGCTGGCATTTTTTTAGCTAAAACCTGTCACTGCAGTTAAAGTTGCTCATCAAAGCAGTGTTTCTCAAACTAGAATATCCATAAAAATAATCTAAAAGGCATATTTTAAAATGCTAATCCTTCTGGCCCATTCACAGAGAGCCTGAGTAGGTGGTCGACATTGGGTTCTCCAGGGAAATGTTACTGCAGATAAGCTGGGGACGCAGACTTTGAGAAATGCTGCCCCAGAGGTTACTCCAGTTCCACAAGTGCCTGGTCACTAGCCGGTGCTCACTGAATGTTTGGGGACTGATCTGAGTGATTTATTGGAAGGATCTAATGATCACAGCCATTCCCAACTTTTCTTGATTTTCACGATTTAAATGAGAGCTTTGAGTTTGTTTTTCTTAAGAATATTGAACTAGGCTCATTTTACTTTCTTTTCATTTTGAAAATAATGAATGCTTGCTATTAAAATGGACAAATACATGAAAGTATAATACTTTCAAGCCGTAGTGGCCCTTTATTTAAAAAAGAAAATTAGGACCCTTGTGTGAAGAATAGTGTTCACGTAACATCCTTCAATGTGTTGTGGGATTGCAAAGATGCCCTGTGACCCCCGGTCCTTTGCTATGATCCCACAGCTGCCAGAAGGCTGGGAACCACTAGCATAAAAGAATTTAAAGATCACTTATAATCTGACCACTGTTAACATTTGGATTTTTTTTAACTAGTCTTCTACATGAAAGTGTATTAAAACTAATAAAATGAATTGAAAGTGTGAGATAAATGGAAACACACTCCATGTAGTGTTGCCAGTGGAGGAATGGAGCTCGTTTCCTCCTCTCCCCAAGAAAACAGGCTCTAATTGTGAATAGGCACAGTTATGAAGGTCTCTAAGGATTTGGTGGGCCCCAGGGGCTAGCTCTAAAACAACGGCTTTGGACTTCAAGGTTCCCACCTCAGTATCCTTGGAAATGGGGGCTGTGTTTAAAAGAGGAGACATGAATCAAGTTCATGTCTAGCCAGTGGGCTATTACGGAGAGTGCTTGTAAGGCCACACAGTGATGAAAGGTAGAGTCATATTCATGACACCATTACCATCCAGCCATAGGGGATAATATGTCATTATTTCAGCAGATATTTATTGAGTGCCTTCCTAAGACACTGTACAAGTGCGGGGTCCTGAGAACTCAAACTCAGAAACGTAGGCGAAGGCATTGCCCCACTTCTCATGGAACTGCCAGAGAATTAAAAAAACAGACCCATAAATCCATGGTTATAAAACAGTTGGTAAGTGCTGGAGAACCAAGTTCAATGAGAGAAAGAAGTAAGCACAGGGTCCTCTGAAACCATGGAAAAGAGACATAACTCAACTAGGGCGTGTACTTGGCACTAAATGCCTAAGCTGATTTTACAATAATTGAAAAAAGCTGGAGTGTCATTGGAAACAGTTAATAATATATACAGCATAGACATTCAGAAATTACTATAAATGCCTGCTGTAAACAACCAGTAGGTGCATCAGCAAACAACCGGTATCAATGGGAAGCAGCTGAAAATCAAGCTTAAAATAAGCCAGGCAAAATCAAGGCAGAGGAGAGGAAGAGTGTTTGAGGCAGACAGCACATTCAGAGGTTGCTCATATCCCAGGTTTGCAAATTTCTCTGAGTTTGCAAATATCGCACGAATGGCTGCATTTATATTAGATGGTGCTGCCTCTTGGACAAGCATATTGTTGCAAAACAAGTGATACTGCCAGGATACACAGACAAACCTCCTGCAAATAAGACAACAGGACCTGGGGTGTTGGAACTCCTTTAGGTTTCTACCCTTTGGACAACTACATATAGGAAAAAGAAATTGGCGTTAGTTAAGCTTAACTCCTTGTGAACCCACACAGGTAATTTAATTTTTAGCTATGTTGTTTCTGAGAGAGATGACTTCCACACTGGATGAAACTTTGACAGTCTAAATGATACATTTGAAACAAATGTTCTTTAACCATTTTTATTCACCTTGGTTTCTCTCTTCTAGATTTTAGTTCTCATTGACAAAGTCATGATCCTGAGGTTGTGACAAGCACAGTGCTTGGTGCTGGGAATGCTCAGAGGGCAGAGCCTTAAGGAGTTTTTAGGCTGGTAGAGGAGAAGGATGGTTAAGGAATGATGATCCAGTATGGCAAGTGCTGTATGGAAATACAGACCAAGTACAAAGGAGCACAGAGAAGGTTGGGGTGAATGCTTCCAAAGGCGTCAGGGAAGATTAGAATTGGGTTTTGAAGAATGATTTCCCACTCTCCGTGTAAGTGGGGATCACTTGTGGTGAGGATATTCAGGTAGAAAAAGAGCAGTCATTCCCTGAACTCTCGGGCTAACATCACCTGTTCAGAAGTCCACCTGCAGACTGCAGGGTACAACAAGCTCAGGTGATATCCTGCCTCTCCACCTCCACACACGTTCTTCACAGATATACAGACAGTTCTGTTCAGCTTTAAACAGTAATTTTAAAAGTTAAAGCCTAAGCAAATAGAAGAGTACTTTGACAACTTCAGCATCATGACTTTATTTCATAGTTAAAAAAAAAAGTGGGTTTTATGAAAGAGAAGCCTCTAAAATATCCAGAATATTGGCATAATATTCAAAATAAGTTTCTAGAGTGCTGACAATTTGATCTGATAAACTGACCTTCATCGTTTCACAGTATGAAAGTCTCTCTCAAATCTGTGTTCTTCCATGAAAATGAAATTCCCTCTTAATATCTATTCTTGAATTAAACAGCGTGCATTGTGTTTTCAGAACACCTCCACCTAAGATTATTACTTTGGAGAAAGGCTCTGAAGGATTGGGGTTTAGTATTGTAGGGGGTTTTGGAAGTCCCCATGGAGACCTGCCAATTTATGTCAAGACTATATTTGCAAAGGTATTTTTTTCCTTTTTACTGTACTTTTTTTGTTTTAATGAAACTTAGGTGAGATTTTTTTTTAAAGTGTTTTGCTTTACTTCACTTTGACACCTGAATGCATGCATGTATGCTTGTTTCATTTTCATCTTATAGAAAATTCCTGCACCACACGAGTGCAAGAAGAATTCTTTTATAAAAGTGGAATCACAAGAAGTATAATATTCTTTGGACCCTTTTACAAAAGTAGATGCTAACAGATTTCAGAGTGTCTTCTTTCAACAACCAGTATAAGGAGCATGGCACACTCTCTGCAAAAGCTCTTTGGCCTTGGGAGTATCGTTCTGGCTGGAGCAAAGATTTAGCTTTCTACTGAAGAAAGATAGCTGAGGGCCATGGCATAAAGCTTTGTACAAGCCTGGGATCAGTGCAGCATTAATGGCTGCCCATCGCCAAAACCTCAGGATGTTTTAGCTAAAGGTGGTTTCTCTCTTCCAATAGTCTGCCAAGTACTTACCAGACAGCCCAGTGTGTTAGACTAAGCCTGGATAATGGTGTTTTTCAGGAATTAAATAGTCCAATTCATCCTACCTGATACACAGGTCATGGTGTGAATTTCATTATTAAAGTTGGAATTCAAATTCATTATAAACTTTTAAGATCTCTGAAAAGTATTTAGTACTGATATCGCAAGTTTATTCTTCAATGTTTTTATCACAGTCATTTGTTTACTAATTGATCAAATTGCCTCCTAGTGCTTTATTTTCCTAAAGAAATAAAGGCCCTCCAAAAAGATATGATAGATTCTTTCTCTTTCTAGAAAGCTATGCTATACCCTACATACAAGTTTGCTTTTACCTGTGCAGATCTTATCACCTGTTAACTGGGTCTGTGATCTGACACAAGTCTTAATCCTTTGGCTTTTGCTTTTGGAACATGTTAGGCAGCTGCAGATTTCCACTCCTATTGCTATTTGCAATATTGTCTGTTAAGGAGGCATGTTATTCCCAAACACACAGCTGGTGATGGACGAAAAGGGAGAGGAAGGCAGATCAGAAACATTCTGGGACTTCCTTGATGGTTCAGTGGTTAAGACTCCGCACTTCCACCGCAGGGAAATCAATCCCTGATTGGGGAACTAAGATCCCACATTCCACACGGTGTGGCCAAAAAAGAAATCGATTTTTTTTTTTAATATTTAAAAAAAAAGAAACATTCTGGATAACAGTGCTGTCCCCATCTGATAATCCTCCAAATGGATAAACCACCTACAGACCCTCCTTTCCTAAGAATACACTGTAAGTAGCTGTGATCATGATTCTTTGAGGGGGCTGTTATACTTTGCTTTAAAAGAGCCAGCTCTGGAGATAAGGACAGTGGAAAGGCTGCACAGTGAACCCCCACCTTTCAGCAAGTTCTGCCTGCCTGCCTTTGTAAAGTCCCTCCAGAATGTCTGTAATCATCACCTCCTTTCCTACCTGTCTCTGGAGAAGGAAATGGCAACCCACTCCAGTATTCTTGCCTGGAAAATCCCAGGGACGGAGGAACCTGCTAGGCTACAGCCCATGGGGTCGCACAGAGTCGGACACGACTGAGTGACTTCACTTCCCACCTGTGAGGACATGGGCTGCAGTCCAGGGAGAGGACAGGTTCGCTCTAAGGTCTTCTGCCCTGGGGCCTAGTTCAGCGGTCTGCGCCTATCCCTGTCTACACAGTCACAGAGACTGTGGAACGAGTCAGGTGCTGTTTCTCAGAGCACCAGGATGTGCATTGCTGGCAGATTTTTGAAAATAAACTACTATCAGATCAAGGGGGACAAGATTAGTATGAATAATGAACAGACCGAAGCTCACACAGAATGTTCTTTTCATTGAAAGTGATCATTTAGAAAGCACCTACATAGGTAGTAAGATTTTAATAAATAGAGGATCCTTGGTATGTTTCATATTTTAAGGAATGAATGGACCTTTTTGGTAAAGTGAGACACACATGAAATGAGAAACTCTGAACAGAAAAAAAGTTCCCAAGTACTAGCTTATAAGCTACTTAATTCAGTGTCAGTAAAAGAAGATTCCAGTGCAAATTATCATTATTCATACAGTTTCATGGAGTTCATTATAATATAATTGATTTTATAATTAAATATAATTTGATTTTTTTGGCCACTCATTGAAGTTTGTGGGAGCTTAGTTCCCCAATCAGGGATTGAACCTGAGCCTCCAACAATGAAAGTACAGAGCCCTAACCACTGGACCACCAGGGAATTCCCTACGATAGGGTTTCCTTTGATGACTCTCTTTTTTTTATTTATCAGAGTGAACTAATATATCATAATATAAAAGTTTTCTATAGAGAACCAATAAACCAAAAGCTAGCAAAAGAGTTCTTTTAAAGTGAACTCTTTCTACAACAGATTTTGACATGAAGCTAAAGATTCTCCCCATAGGACTCTTGAAGCTCTAAGAACTATAGCTATATGTTTTCTATTTTTCTTTTTAAACACTGAACATATGTTCTATAAAATATTTATCTATGATTCAGGTTTCTGGATCTTGGATGTCCACAGGGTGTGGGTTATTATGTGACCTTTTTGGTGTCCTGTGCATCTTTTAACAGTTCTCTTGCTCAACAAAGAAATTAATTTGGCCCATCCAGGTCTTTTTTTCTCGCCCTCCAAAAGTAGGAAACCTCACAGGCACTTAGGGTATATAGGATTTGCAAGGCTCAGTCAGTCTGATTAACAGGCTGTCAGGGCCTTCCGTTTTCCTTCAGGTGTTTGAAAACTTCAAAATCAAAACCAGCTTTTGGTCTTAGTCCCAACAGCAGCCTAATTTTACCATAAACCAACATGAGATTGGCCTGAAGACTTCAATAACCCTGAAAATCAAGGGAGCAGTTTTTTGAAGCCTGTGAAATCAGAAACATGAGTTTGATCATCATTCATTTCATTATACCACCACAATTGTGCAGATACCCTGTGCCATACACTGAATCTTTGGAACAGGCCAAAAGGTAGCTGTTTGAGCCCGTTTTACAGCATCAGGGAAGGTGAAGTGACTGAGCTGAGACACCGCAAAAGGGTAAGGCCATGTGTCCTAGCTCGATGAAAGTCAGTCTGTCAGCCATTTATTTCTTCCTTCCCTTGTTTAGCCTACAGATACCACACTGATTAAATAGCAGAAGAGATACAGGTCAGTGTAATTATCAAGTAAACACAGCAATACCTGAAACAGTGTACACATCCTAGAAAGTTGAAAAATCATCCTTTTTCCATTGGTGAAAATGAACACTTGAAGAGCTTAACATGCTTTTTAAAAAAATAATTACACAGGTATTTGAGTTTACTGAAGCCCTTAAATCTCAGCATGTAAAATTTATTTAAATCAAGTTAGATTTATCCATACACACTTTCTTTAAAAAAAAAAAAAAAACATTGAATAAAGGTGCAAATTGATCTTGGTATTTTTCCCCCAGTATAATCCTGGTTTTGAGTTTTCTTTGAGACCTTTATACTGGAATTCCGCCCTCGTCGTGGCTTTGAAATTCTAGGTAATTCTACCAGGTCAGGACCCCTACACTGTGGGAAGGTCCCTGGAGTGTCAGTGCCTCTTAGCTCGTCTTCTGCAGGAGGCAATCAGGGCCAGGGGCCCGCATGCCTTGATTAATTTCCGCATAATTCAAAATCGTGTAGAGTACTCCTTTGGCATGAACTTTTCAAAGAATTCTCAAAATTACCCTGGCAGATGGAGAAAGCTTCCTGTGAATCATTTTCTATGTCTTTTCTTTCTTTACTCATCCGAAGTATTTCTAATAATATCATGATGTTTTTGATCCTCAGCTTTAGAATGAAAAAAGCCCAAGTTTGACTTGCTTTGTGCCATGCTGAAGAGCCATGTATGACTGAATATGTAATGAGAGTAGTCATTTAGAAACCTGTTTAGGTGGATCATAGATAAAGCTGACACTTTTGAATATGATATTGTAAAATTTTAGAAACGCTCCAATTCTGTGTATTTATATATAGGACAGTTTTATTGAGATCTAATTCACATACCATACAATTCATGCATTTAGAGGCTATAGTTACTTTTGATAGATCACTACAGTGCTGATAGCTTTTCAATATAATGGAACCCTGTATGATGATGGTGTTGGCAATAAAGCTAACACCAGATTCAGTTCTGCCTTTGTATGCTACATATTCATAAAGTTGACATATGACATTCAGATTCCATTCAGTACTGAATATTGAAATAAGGTCTACTTGTATTTTTTTTAAAAAAGTGTGAATGTCAGGACATTTCTAGTAGTATATTATAAAAACAATGCATGATTATAACTTCTATTCAACCTTATGTCAAATAACATCCTACATTTTTCTTAGTTTTCTTAATTTAAAAACATTACGTAGATCATTTTAATTGGTAGTTTTAAAAGTTTTCTTTTAATATGCACACTATAATATTAATATTATTTGAATATTCATTGCTTCACCCTGGTTAAACTGGAATGTTTCTTATTTGTAGGGAGCAGCTGCAGATGATGGCCGATTGAAGCGAGGTGATCAGATTTTAGCTGTTAATGGCGAGACTCTGGAAGGTGTTACACATGAGGAAGCTGTGGCCATTCTGAAACGCCAGAGAGGGACTGTAGTCTTAACCGTGCTATCCTGAGCCTTGGGTCATGATCACAAGATAGATGTGGTTGTAGAATATTCACAGGAAGACAAACTTCTGAGAAAGAATAAAACCCAGCCTCAACTAAAACCCATCTCCATCTGTACCATCCCGACCTCTCTGCTCAGGAAAGATGGCCTGGGTTTCACATGAATTTCCCATATCGACAATAATGTTTCCCAGCATCCCTCATCTCTTGCTGAGGTTAATTTCCAACAGCTGAGTCTTATGCTTTTGCATTTAACATCCGTGTTTATCAACTAGTAGTAATGGTACTGATTATATTTGCTTAAGCGGAAGTTAACAACCTCTCATTCCTTATGGCCTTCTCTCCCCATCCTGACTCATATGGAGGCTGAGCAGCAACCAGATCACATCCGATGAACAGAAGCAAGTGTTAAGCAACTTGTCATCTCACTCCTGATTTATGTATGCTAATTGTCTCTTCAAATACGCCGGAAAACATTAGCAGTGTAATTAACTTAGCAATGATCCCCATGATGAAAAAGCAAATTCTCCTGTGGGAAATTACTGTGCTCTTTTCTGTACGACTTATCGTCAAATAAGTCTCGAATTCATTTCTTTGGATAGATCTTTATAAGTATCATTGGTGATTATGATGAGCCAATTTGCAGACTGTAATCTAAAAATTTTGAACGGCTTTCTAATTGTTTTCTTAGCTACATAATTGCATACCACTGAGCAAATGTACCTTCTTCTCAGCAGAAACAGTTAGCATCCATGTTCTGAATTCTAACAATGCTAAGTTATGCTCAAGTCTGGGAAGTTCATCTGGAGTTAATGGCATCTCAGTGGGCAGGCATCATTCCTACCCCTCAGGCTTCAGATGAGGAGGTGGAAGTCCCAGAACCACTGCAGAGATCAGCAAGTTTTTACCAAAGTAAACCCAGTTCTGGATGGCCTTGGCATTGTGCAAAGTGGAGTGACAAATTTCAGTATCCCTCTCCTTGGCTCCATACCTGTCAGTGCAGCAGCACAGTCAGTAGGAATGTAGATAGAGCAATGCACTTAGCCACAGAGTGACTGAGCAAATGAACTGAGTCTTGGAATCAGTCATGGCTTCTTGGTGAATGTTTTCTGGTCTTCAGGGAGCCTCACACGTGCTGCAGCATGCATGCTAAGAAAGTAACTACAGCAGAAAATATAAAAATACTTTTAAAGTTGGTTAGGGCCTTCTTTTTCAGGTGTTAGCAGGAAAAGGGGGGAGATGCTTATCTGTGAATGTTATAGGTTCCTCTGTAAAAAATGCACCACAAAAGATGAGTACCAGGATGAGTAATAGAAGTAGTGTGGCGTTATTTGATGAAAACAATGCTGCAAATGGTTCACAATAATGATCAAAATATAATGGGCTCTAATTTAAATGTTATTTAATAATATAGATTTTTAATTGAGAATTATCTTTTAGTAGAGGTAATCACAAAGTGCATTAACTCTTGTTGGAATATTTTGTGGCTATTCCAAAGTTTAGAGTGCCTAAATTTTATGTTGAAAATGTCTTTCATGACTGGTATTAAGTTTTCTGAAATTACACATGGCTTTTGAAATTTTTATCATATTCCAACATATGCAGTGTTGTTAGAAATTGTCTTTCAGTGCATGAGAACCTATCAGCCTCAGAACGTCCTATGTTAATTGTATCTGCAAGAACACCTCAAGCAGCTAAGAAGAAATAAAGCCCAAATAAAACTTGAAAATGCACCTTAAAATACATATATATATACTTTTGAAATGTGATTCTGCTTGATTTTGATGGAATGACCATTAAATAGACATTTTTAAGTAATAAATCATTGTTGTGTTTCTTTACCCATTATCCTTTTAGGACGTGCTACTAAAAGTCTCTTGATAAAGGAATTGTGGTGCTTGATGCTCCTTGCAGTAAATTGATATAACTAGTGCTTCTCACAACTGATTCTGTCTCTGCTTGCATGACTAATAAATAACTGTCTTCCTAAAACCTTTTTTTTTTTAATCAGAACTTACCAGCAAGCTAAGAGAATATGAAAATGTGAATTTGTGAAAGGAGGAGTTCTCTCCTAGCCACATATATTGTTATAGCCTCATCATTTGGGCCATTTAAGTGTAGTAATGATATCATTATTTAGAAATAGCATGAAAGGGAAGTAAACCAGGAAAGATAAAACTCCTGAATGTTTATGTATGAGATATTTCCAAAAATGCTAAATAAATATAGTTGCCAAGGAGTAATTGGAGTTTAATTGTATATGAAAATGTTTAATTTCTGCATCTAATTTTGTGTTTTTATCAGCTCTTTTGTTCCCTAATAGAAAAAGGATCAACTTTTTACAAACTTTTCCAGTGTCTTATTAAAATATAGGATCCATTAATAGCTACCTCATATTAATTGCCAGTGTGTTAGTAGGCATTAGAAGAGATGCTTTACAAAGGAGAGAATATAGCAGTCCAGAAAGTGAGTCTCAGCATCACACTGCCTGAGTTTAAATCTTGACTTAGTAGTCATGTGATCTTGTCCAAGTTAGTGTCTTTAATTAGAAAGGGAGAATGGACTGGATTCTCAGCACTACAATGAACCAAATTCAAGTAGCGCTCTTAAGTCTAGTGCCTGGAGTGGGTAGCCCTTCCCTTCTCCAGGGGATCTTCCCAATCCAGGGACTGAACCCAGGTCTCCTGCATTGCAGGCAGATTCTTTACTGTCTGAGCCCCCGGGGAAGCCCACAGAAAGTACTACAAAAATATTAACAATAAACCTCTTCTACCGTTTATGGAGGTGGTCTGAAACTTGACACATGGAAATTAGTGGTTTCCACCATTAATGACATTTGGAAAAAAAAAAATTTCTGAAGGTGGCTTAGCTCTGAATTGTTGCCCAAAATTACATAGCAGAATGTTTAACTGATTATAATGGTGTGAGCTTAAGTAACTAGAACTTGTGTTATCAAAATGCTGAAACTAAAGCTTCCAGCATCAGCCATGCCACTGGAATATACCTGGGATGGGAGTAATACCAACTGCATATGCCTATCGCCCACCTCCAGAACCAGACAAGGCACTTCAATTACCATCAGCCCTCTGCAAGGAATTTTAACCTGGTATATACCTTCATTCCAAGAATTTGGAGTTGTAAACTATTGTTTTACTAACCTAGCCACATTCCCTTTCTTCCCTTGCTTCACACCCATCCGTTGTCAAAGAAGTCAGCCTTCCCCATCAGATGACAAACTTCTTTGAAAACAGGGACTAAGTCCCATTCACCTTCATGTTAATTTCATCTGGCATACTTTTCAAATTTTGTATGTCCCATCTTAAGATGTTTTATTTGGGTCTTTTAAAACATCTTCCATTTCCCTCCTTATGTTCATGTTTTCCTCTACATCGGAAGTCAGCAAACTTGATGTGAAAAACCAGGTAATACTGATATTTTAGGTTTTTCAGGCCTTTGCAGTCTTTGTCATAACTACTCAACTTTGAGTACTTCCCTCATGGTCCAGTGGTTAAGAATCTGCCTGCCAATGCAGGGGACATGGGCTTCACTCCCTGGTCTGGGAAGATCCCACATGCTGTGGGCCAACTAAACCTGTGTGCCTCAACTACCGAGCCTTGCTCTAGAGCCCACGCTCCGCAACAAGAGAAGCTACCACAATAAAGCACCTGCGCACCCCAACTAAGAGTAGCACCCCCTCTCTGCAACTGGAGAAGGCCCTTGTGCAGCAGTGAAGACCCAGCACAGCCAAAAGTAGTAAATAAATAACTACCCAACTTTGCCATTATAGCATGGAAGCAGCAATGGACAATACATAAATTAACAAGTTGGCTGTGTTCTAATAAAGCTTTATTTACACACATGGAAAATAAGAAAAATCTGGCCCATAGACTGTACTTTGCCCCTGCTTTATATATGTGAATATACTTTGAGACTACAGTAATTAAGAGCTTTATCTACTATAGTATTCCATCTTTGCTATACCCGGAGCTCTTTCTATTGATGGAATTAGCTTTCCTGATTATGAAAGGGTCTTTTCTTTTGGCTTCTTTCAGTTCCGTTCAGTTTAGTCACTCAGTCGTGTCCGACTCTGAAACCCCATGAACTGCAGCACGCCAGGCCTCCCTGTCCATCACCAACTCCCAGAGTTTACCCAAACTGATGTCCATTGAGTCAATGATTTTGGCTTCTTGGCATGTCTGGTAATTTTTTATTGGATGCCAAGTATTGTAAAATCTACATTGCTGTGGATGGATTCCATTGCATTCCTTGAAACAGCAGGGGGCTGTGCTGTTGTGCAATTATGTTAACTCGTGCTTAGTTTGATCCTTTTAAGTCTAGTTTTTAGGCTTTCTTAGGGAGGTCTAATGCAACTGTTAGGGCTCATTTTGTCCCACTGTTAAGGCATTATTCTAAAATGTCTACTCAATGCCTGTACACTATGAGTTCTTTCCACTGTGACAGGCTGAAACTATCCAGAGCCCTGTCTGAACTCCACGTGGTTCTTTCCTGGCCTTGAGGAGTTCCCTCTCGTGCATGTGCAGATTCATATTCCAATCAAGGCTTCAAGGGCCCCTCTGCAGGGCTCTCTAGCCTTCCATGCAGCTCCCTTCTAACAGCTCTCTACCTTGCAGCTCACCCACCCTGGCCTCCCTGAGCTTTGATCTCTCTCTGCTACTTTTTTTTTTTGTTTTTTTGTTTTTTTGGTTTTTTTTACATTTTATTTATTTATTTATTTTTTCACAACCATAGTGTATCTTTTTTTTTTTACATGTATTCCCCATCCCGGTCCCCCCTCCCACCTCCCTCTCCACCCAATCCCTCTGGGTCTTCCCAGTGCACCACGCCCGAGCACTTGTCTCATGCACCCAACCTGGGCTGGTGAACTGTTTCACCCTAGATAATATACGTGTTTCAATGCTGTTCTCTTGAAACATCCCACCCTCGCCTTCTCCCAGAGTCCACAAGTCTGTTCTATACATAGGAGTCTCTTTTTCTGTTTTGCACATAG